CGTGGTTCAAACTTTGTTGACCAAAAGCAACCTAGTTCCTGGCCTCTACAGCCGTATTACACCGGCAGTTGGATACTCTAGAAGTAGCATAAATACCAATTAATGATTCAGTTATATATATATATGCCAAGAGAGTTGATCGCACTTTGAGGTCTATTCTCCACCCAGCAACTGCAAAACCTGACTTTCCATTCGCAGCACCAGCCACCTACATCAGTGATTGGAAATCGGCACAAAAAGGTTTGCTGAGTGTTAAGGCCTACGGTCCGGTGAAGGATGCGATCCTTACCTTGATCAGCAAGTTACGGGATTACAACATTTTGACGGAGGTTCTTTATCCAGGCATCGACTTCACGGGGATGTTCAAGTTTGCTACTACAAGGTTGTACGGTTCTTGCACCCTGTTCAAACTGCTCTTGTCCATCAAGGCCACTCCGGCCCAGGCTGATCAAACACCTGCCAACGACGACTCATCTGAAGAGGAGGACAATGAATCCCAGGAAGGAGCGGGTTCTCTGTCCGGACCATTCACGAAGGTGACAAAGAAGAAGGTGAAGAAGAAGAAGAAGAAGTCGCTCATTTCCGATAATTTAGAGAATCATTTTCTCAAAGATCTATCCCCGGCACAACGCAAGCTGGCTGAAGCCACCGACCGCAAACTGAAGAACGATATTGATCGCCATAAGGCAGGACCACTCTTCCTGATGATTCTTCCTGGAGAAATGGAAGGCTCTTACATCTTTGTATGCCGCAAGAAGTACGGTCAGTTAGCTCAAAACGTGTTGAGATGGATAGTTCCGTTCTTGATTCATCACCTGTGCAAACTTACGGATACGCAAGCTGATCGAGTCTTGGGTAAATGGATTCCCAAATCAGAGATCCAGGCGACGCGTCGTAAGTGTTTGGTATGGTGCACCAACACGCTACTCGCTATTGAGGCCTCCGATCAGTCGACCAAGGTGGAGGAGGCTCTGGAGTTTTTGGACAATGTGATCGAAGACACTACCGATGTCTACCAAGGTCAACTCTCGATCAATATGGATATGGCGAATGCCAAGGATATTGACAATGGACAAACGGTCACGGGGATGCTTGATGAAATGCACAAACGTGAACAACAACTGGAGGATGCCTTTGTGGAAATCGAAGCTCGTGACAACGCCTTGGCGGCTAAAGACCAGGCCCTGGCTCAGCAGAAAGCCGCGACTGCGGCTCTTCAAGCCCAACTTGACGCCCTTCAACGTCAAACAGCTCACCACTTGGCCATCAACTCGCAGCCACCTGCTCAAAACAATGAGGTATCTCCAGATTGGTCCGAATTCACTACGCCACCAAAAAAGAGGAAAAGCAAGGATACGTCCACGACTAAGAGGAGCGTTGACAGGTCTAAGGCTGGTCTTAAGCCGCCCACTAAGTCAACTCGTACCAGCACGTCTGTTCACTTTCAGCAGCCGAAGCACCGCTCTTGGAACACGTCTCAGGTCCAGGTGGACACAACTCAGATGGAGGGTGATACTACTACAGCTGTGTCCCAGGACGAGAGCCTCTCATCTCTGACAGCGGCCTCTCCGGGAGGTGTACACCCATTCTTTCTCCCTTCTCCATCTGGCATATCCGGTACTAGCGGATCTGCTAAGTTGCCTTATTTGGCCGGCCGCGGAGCGCCTCGCTCCGCGGCAGGGCCATGAGAGGCCCCAGGTCGTCTGCCGCTAGGTCACGGCGTGCAGGCAGAAGATCTCGAGTTATTAGTGGCCCGTCAAATGTTGTTTCCCACGCTTCACTTGACGAATATTTACGCTCTCTTCCACCAGGAGACTGCCTTGGCGACGACCATCGCTGTCGCTCTTCACTAGCTACTCGCGTCACCTTCCAGAACGTTAACGGTGTTCCGGAGGAAGGTGACCATGTGAAACAGCGGCAGATCAACTCCTGGTTGCAAGATGAGCGAGTGGGAATAGCGTTGTTGGCGGAGGCCAAAACGTTTTGGCCCTCTATCCCAAAGGGGCATGGGTGGAACGATAGGATGCGTCAAGCCACGATGAAGGCAAAGCAAAAAGGTTTTTATTCGGCTGTCGCTTATAATAAACAGCAGTCACGATCTTCAGCAACTACAGCCTTTCAATGGGGAGGATGCATTGCGACAGTACTTAGTCAGGTCTCACACTGAGCTAAAGAATCAGGCAGCGATTCGACGGGGCTGGGACGGTGGGCTTATGTTCGTCTTCAAGGGAAAAAGCTGCAGGCGCAGGGGGGTGATGATCGCTCCGGCTTGGTGCTAGACGTAAACAAGGCGGTCCGACTCCCGCTTTCACGTGATCTAGTGGTTGTCTTGGCATATAGGCCAAACAGAGAAGGTACGGGGGAATCGACCGTGTGGGCCCAACAACGTCTATACTTTAACTCTATAAAACGTAAGATTGATCCGCGCAAAGCATTGGTCGATGACCTGTGCAAGCAAATTCAAAAATGGAGGGACGAAGGTTGTGAAGTTTTGCTGGGGATCGATGCTAATGAAGACCTTTCAGTCAACTCCCCGGACTCCATACGACAGCGGTTTCGTGAGTGCGGAATGGAGGAAGCGATTTTGAAACGGCATCCCCCCACGGCGACCCACCAACGAAATCAAAGCAACGTTCCCATTGACAGAATCTTTACCACTTCAGGTGTTCCGGTTCTGGCTGGCGGCTACTACGCATTTGGTGAATTTGTTGAAGCAGACCACAGGGCACTATGGATCGATATCGACTTGAACAGGGATACCCCGCAGAAGCGCGTGATTTACACGGAAAATGGTTGACGCGCGGAATTCGCCATCCCCGTAGCAGGGGTTTGGCCTTGCTCAACTCGCGTGGACATTGAATTACTTAACGTCATGGATTTTACAACTTTCTGTGATTCATTGAAATCATTTTTAGTCCTAAAACGTTAAATAAATATTTTCCGGCAATAACAAATAATAGGGCCCAGACGGAGATCAGACATCACGCGAAGGCCCACGCGGAAATCAGACATCACGCGAATGTCCACTCAAAGGCCCACGCGGAAATCAGACATCACGCGAATGTCCACTCGAAGGCCCACGCGGAAATCAGACATCACGCGAAGGCCCACGCGAAGGTCCACGCGGAAATCAGACATCATGCGAATGTCCACGCGAAGGCCCACGCGGAAATCACTATTTTCGTAAGTACCAGAAATGTGTAGAAAAGGTGGCGTCCATCAATGTCTGTGTGTACCAATCACAGTCTTTGAAATTTTCAAGGTCATTCAAAAGGTGGAATTGCTATATAATTAGATATCAACAATTGTTTCTTTTCGACTAGTCAGTGTTGGAATGTCGAGATCGTTACCATTGTTTGCTTCACTTGTCATAAAGGATCTTCCATCAAAGATAGGATGACCATTATCCATTGCATATTGGACAATGACGATTACAGCTTCAAAGGCAAAGACATGGTCGTCCGAATTACCGGTATGCCGAAAGACATCTGAAAGAATCCTGTAATCTTTCAGTCTTCCATTCAAACTCTCATGGCGTGCATGAAGTTTTGATTGGTGTACTAGACTTCGCATGACGTCTGAATTCCGCGTGGGCCTCCGTGTGGGCCTTTGCGTGATGTCTGATTTCCGCGTGGGCCTCCGTGTGGGCCTTCGCGTGATGTCTGATTTCCGCGTGGGCCTTCGAGTGGACATTCGCGTGATGTCTGATTTCCGCGTGGGCCTTCGCGTGGGCCTTCGCGTGATGTCTGATTTCCGCGTGGGCCTCCGTGTGGGCCTTCGCGTGATGTCTGATTTCCGCGTGGGCCTTCGCGTGATGTCTGAATTCCGCGTGGGCCTCGAAGTAAACGTCGTTTCTCTTAAATGGGGTTGATTCGTCCCTTAAATGAAAATGATTAAAAAATATGTTTTCTTATTGAAATTGATTTCAATTGTGAATCCATTAAGTAACTTTAAAATTGCGACCTTCCGTGCCATTGAGGGTGCTTTTTTCACTACAATTGACGCGTTTCTGCGGGGTATCCCAGGGCTTTGGGCAATTTCACACCCCAGGGCTCTACTTTTAAACCTCGGAAGCTCACTCTTTTGAATAAGCGGTCGGTTAAACGCTATCTTCAACTGGCCCACTTGGGATACGAGGAGTATGACATCCCGTCCCGTCTTACCAAGCTCAATCAGCGCATTGAATCTAATGGACGACAGATGTCACCCTCACTGGCACGCAAATATAACTGCCTTCACCGGCAGATGTATATGATACGGCGGCATGCTGAAGACAATTGTCGCACTACCTCCTCTGGCAAGGTTCCTTGGTCTCCCAAATTGCAGGGCTTCTGGGATCGGTTGAGTCTCTGGAAGCTACTCCTTAAAGGACGCAAGCGATGTCGTGTGAGCTCCCGAAAGGTCCGGCGCCTGATGAAGAAGACAAGGCTGTGCACCGCGTGGAAGAAGACGACTGATGAACTGGAAGTTGCATTGGCAGCTGAACGAAGGGCATACAAGCAAGCCAAATGTCAGGCAACCCCATTGAGACGGGACTTTCTTACTGTTCATACAACGGATGCAAAGAAGAAGAAATGGAAATCTCAGAAGGCCCACGATAGATTCCTTCGGTTATGACGAATTAAGCAACGAGAGGAGGCGAGACACCGTTGTCGCGCCCAACAAAAAGGATCTACAGGGGGTTTACGGGCTATTCAGATTGAAGAACAATTACCAGATGGCACTACACGACTGCGTACTATCACTGACCGTGCTCTGGTTGAAGAAGGTTGTATACAAGAAAACGCTGCATGGTACGACCAGACGCGGGCTCCATATACAACTCCACCTATGACGGAACCCTTGTATACAGCATTCACCGGCGATCAGGCTGAATCTAATTCCATTGCACTATTGGAAGGCCGCTACTCCCTGCCCGACCTTCTCGACCCCGCCACTACAGCCTTCCTTTCACATTGCCGGTTTCACAAGGATCACTTACCTGTGCACCTTGAGGTGACTACCTCTGATCATGTGTACTTCTGGTCTCGAAATCCGGAGGACAAAGGCTCAGAACCTCATGGCTTGCACAACGGACACTTCAAGGCAGCGGCCCAGTCACCAGTTATTGCCTCTTGTGATGCCCTTTTTCGCAATATTCCTTTGGCAACGGGATTTGTCCCCTCAAATTGGCGAAACTTGATGAATTTTGCAATTGAGAAAAAGGCAGGCGACTTCCGGCTGTCAAAAATGCGTACTATTCAGTTAATGAATTCGGAGGCACAGGCGAACAACAAAAAAGCGGGTCGGGCGGCCATGCGATATGCCGAGGAACACTCCTTGATTCCGGACGGTCAGTGCGGTTCTCGGAAACGTCACCAGGCCATTGATCTGGCCCTGTCCAAACGTCTGGTCTGGGACTTGTTGATTCTCCAACGATGCGCGGCTGGGTGGATCTCTAATGATGCCAAATCCTGCTTTGATCGTATTGTTCATTGGGTGGCAATCATTGCAATGCTCCGGTTTGGGCTGACATGGAGGGTCCTATCCTCCATGTTTAACATGCTGTCATCAGCGACGCATCGGGTGCGGAGATTCAGAACGTACTTTCAAGCCGCCTTCTGTTATCCCCTTCCAAGGCTGTGGTCAGGGTATTGGGGCTGGACCCCCTATATGGATCTCCGTGAGCTCCGTTCTCATTACCATGATGGAAGCGATGGGTTACGGCTTTGAGTGCCTCTCAGCACTGGAGTCAAAGTTGGTCACAGCCCAATGCTTCTGCTTTGTTGATGACACCAACGTCATTGAGGCTGGCAATACAGTCCATCACTCGGGTGAAGCCATATGTGCATCGGTGCAGGACGCCGCCACTCTGTGGGCTGGGGGAATCCGAGCCATTGGAGGTGCGATCAACCCCGAGAAGTCCTTTTGGTGGCTCATTGATTTCGAGTGGGACTCCCGCACAGGCAAATGGAAATTCCGTGGGAAAAAAGCAGTCGTCCCCGACTTTGCACTTCAACCTCAAGGTCTTTCAGGTGCTACTGAATCCTTGCGTCGCCTTGAACCAGATGACTCGGAACGCACTTTGGGAGTTATGCTTGCTCCTTTGGAAAACCTTGAGGCTCACAAGGCTCAGACGGTTGCTAAAGCCAAGGATTGGGCAGAACAGCTTCGACCCAACCTGCTTCACAAATATGATGTCCTCCGCCTCAGCAAGTCGACCATCATGAAGAAATTGGAGTATCCGATGGCGCTAACAACTCTGGCTGCCCAGCAATGGAAAGACATTATGTCTCCGGCGGGTGTCTGTCGTAATTTCCCTTGGGATGTAGTATTTGCTCCGCTGTCCTATCAGGGCCTTGGACTTCCACATCCGTTTGGTTGTCAAGTGTTTAAGCATCTTGAGATGTTGCTCCGACATATAGCCAACAGGACCAAAATGGTGACTATATGGAGGCCAACATCCAAGCCCATCAAGTTGAAACGGGGACGTCCTTTGGACTTTTGCAACAAGTCTACACCAACACAACGATCCTCGCTTCCGACACGTGGATGAAACAAGTCTGGCATGAGCTCAAAGGTTTGGACATCTATGTCGCCTACGACTCTCCAGCCCTCTCCCCTCGCTGTACGGACGACTCCCTTCTGATGGATCTCTTCATCAACTTGGAGGTTGAACAGGAGGAACTTTTATGGCTCAATTGGTGTCAAATGTTCCTCCAGGTATGCACAGTGTCTGACATTGTGACT